GGGGGGGGGGGGCGGGAGGCGCGACATGAAGTATTTTGATACGGTGTTTTCACGAAATTTTATATATACACTGCGAATTAAATATAATTAATAAATTTCATCCGGGAGGGGGGGGGGGGCAACGTATCCCCGTAAACCAGCAAGATAAACTGAATAATTCGCCACGTTAACGATTTCGTAAAACGCAACACACACAAGCCGTCGTCATGGCGATCGTGTGCGGCAGCCTTGACGTTTTCATTAAAACACCAGCTGTTTGATCGTAAGCGAAAAACGGCCGATCGGCGAGGTTGACGAGCCGCAGAATTCGCTGTGGAGCGGGCTTTAACCTCCTCCCACGACCCGCCATGGTCCGCTGGCTTCGTCGGTCTCCGTCGCTCACGTTTTCTGCATTCGCCGAGTGTGACACAGTGCCGTATGAATGCCCAGTCTTCCCTCTTCGCACCTCGCGTCGCGACGCCGGTGTCAGTGCGCGCGATGATAGATTCCGTCTCCCACCGATGACCTCTCCAGAATAACGTTTTTTCCCACCGGCTCTCCCGATTTTATTATTTCCCCGAACGGCCGATCGGCGCGGTAAATAGTCCGGTTCGTCGCGATCGCTCGTGATCGACCCAATCTCCAATCGAGATCGACAGGCGGCTCGACGGCACGATAAAAGCGCGTTCTGATTCTAGAACGCGGCGAAATAAAAGCATCGAGTGTGATAAGTGTCTGTAATTAGACCGGTGGAAATGATCGATCTTCTAATCGTTGCGGACAATGATACATTTGTGCACGTTGCCGACTGGAGCTGCTGGCACAGCGGGTTCTTTAACCTTCGCCATTTGCCAAATGCAAAATTAATGCCGGTCTTGTTTCAATCAGCTAAATATATGAATACTTTCTATTTGGCATTCTCCCCGTTGAAACCCGTGAAGTAGCAAGCAAGTATCGAATGAAGTTACATCATTCAGGCGCGGCACCGCGCGTGTGAGCGCCGTCTGTTATACTGGCTTCACGAACTTCCAAACGGTGTTTTTCATTGCGACACCGACCTGAATATCGTTTTGAAACGCGATGTGTCTTCATCTTCTTATTCTCCGAACGGCGACGTCATCGGAGTAACATGGCTTATTCGAGCACGTGGTGCGCGATGAATCTACGTGATGGGATGATACACACACACACATGCACGCACGCATACGCTTGCCTTGCCCTCGTCGTCAGTTTTTGCCCCACCATAAGCAGGATGTCTCATGCCACGGCATCTCGCATGATGATCCTGCCCACGCGGTTTATTTATTTGCTCCCCCCGCTCTCTGCCCCCCGCCCCCTTTCCTCCGTGCGTGTTAATGCACATTTTCCCCGTGACGCTTCGCGGAAATGTCGCGACTGTGTCTTCGCGAAACCGACGGCAATCTGCATGCCGTGACGTCTGTTGAAATGCTCGTGCCTGGATTTCTTTCGTGGATTTCTTCTTCTTGCCGAGTGCACGTGCCGCGTTTCTACATACGTCGCGTCTTTACCACTCGCGCGATTAGTTACTATTAATATCGAATATTAATATCATGTATTCTCATTAGTCGTAACAATATTGCGTAGCAAACGTACGAGAACTTGATTCGGAATTTTATTCAGGGATCACTTCTAGGGC